TAGTTTGCTAAGCTTATTAATCAAATGGATATCTGTAACTCTTGGACTGCCTTCAAGTTTTAGAGCAAAAGGAGGAAATAAAAATAAGGTTTGTGAGATCACAAAATCAAAATAATCTTTTTGTGGATGTGTTTTTGGAGCACAAATAGCATAGCCTTTTAATGAAATAACCATCTAAGCTTTTATGGCCTTTTCCTATCTTGGACAATCGGAAAAATTAAATTTCTATACAAAAAATGCACTCATGGCTGACCACACAGCCACGCCGTGAAATTTAAACATGAGTAACGATGGAGTTGTGACCCGAAGTCTCTTTCGTCCCCAGTCACATTGTCAATTTTTACCAAATTATGGTCCAAGGGGCAGCGTCTCTAAAAAGAAAAAAAAATTGATCTGCTTTTGTCTCGGGAGTTTCAAAGGATTTTTAAGTCTCTATTATAATCTGGTACACGGGAGTGTTAGGAATTTGGATTGAGAGATACGAACGTTACATTTTCTTTGTCACATAGTGAAATACATTATAGGCTAAACGGTGTTAAAATCTAGAATGGTGTGGTTGATTTTTCCTGTTGCTATTATTGATTGTGATTTGTAGGTACGTTGTATCAAAAAAAGAAAAAAAAAAAGATTATGGTAAAACAACTTTGTGTATTATTATGGCAACAAAAAAGTGAAAACAGTGTTGGGTACATTGGTACACCAAGGTCAATTTCATGAACTAAAAATAAGTGGTCACAAAGACAAGAGAGAGAAAGCACAACTAAAAAAGACATTAGTCCTACCTATATACATTGTGTGCCTGCGGTTTCATAAACTAGCCCTCTACATCAAGGATTTGTGATGCCATTTTCATAAATCTTCATGCTAAGGAGGATAAATATACAAGTACCAAACACCAAAATTCAGAATTACAACAAATATTTCTAAAGCTTTGGTACAGTGCAAGTGGGTTTTGTTTATCCTTAATTTTTTAAAATAAATTTCAAAAAACCCTAACACGGCATGATGGTTATTACAACTTATTTACTTGATGTAGATCGTTCGTAATTGACCACTGTGCACCTATGAAGTAAACTGAAAATAAATCTAATATTTGACATTATTTGTTATTGAATCATCATCCTCAGAAGGGAAATGATTTTAAAGTCAAAAAACGCAACCAAGTGTATCCAAGCCGTTTGATAGCTTATAGTGGAACCTAAGGGTCCCACGTAGGTTATCAAAGGGCCCGAAGGCCAACCGAGTGCATTTAAGCCATAGCTTAGATTAGGACCTATGACTAATAATAAGATTAGAAGCTGGTTTGAGAAGTGAATTTAAAACTCGCTAAATTCCAAACTCACCACGATTAATAAAAAATATGTAAATAAATATTTTTTTTTGTTAGTTTTTCTTTTTCCTTCATTTCCTATGATAATTTTTTAGTTTTCACGACATTTTTGTTATTATGATCGTTAAATATTTGATTATATAATAAATTTGTTCAAACTTTAGTTGTTTTTCTTAAAATATATGTATATCAGGTTTGCCGAACCCACCTGACCTTGATACAAGGCAAGATAAGTTTGATTTTCCCTTTTTTTATGAGACGGATTTGAGAATGGGTTGTCCTGTCCTGAATCCGTCCTATTGACATCCAATGCATTCAGCTGATTGAATCATCTCATCCATTCACTAAAATAGAATTTCTCCCGTCAAAATTAGACTAGTGTTATCATATTTGTGAGCTCAGTAATAAAGATTGAGCTGTCAACATTCTTCAATGATGCTCTGAAAAATAATTCCTCTAAAAAGTCTTATGAAGTGATAAGAAAAAGCTTAATAGTAATTTTCACCATCATAAAAGTGGGAAAACAGAATGGGCCATTTGCGGGGGGGGGGAAAACCATAGAGAGCTAAAAGCTGGTTTTAGGATTGGCACAGACAGCTAGCTCCCTTGATCAAGAACATAATTGCAGGACCCACCAGCAATGAGCTCCATTGTCTTACTTACATTGGGATCAGCTTTGATCAGACTCGATTCGACGATCAACGGCCAGGATCAAAACATAGTCAGCTACATTCGGTACTCTCTTTCACATATGATGATTGCCTAATGGACTGCTTGGATGTCCCAAGAAAATGTAATGGGCTAACCAAATGTTCTTACATTCTATATTTAGAATTGTATTACCTATATGTATACGGAACTCGAATTCTCTCCTATACCGTTTTCACTCTATATTTATTATGTAATATGTAAGTGAACCTGGATCATCTCTTGCACCGTTTTCATTTTATATATGTCGTATGCTTTTAAATGGCTAATGTAACAATTACATTACATTTTTGTTTCGTGGTGTTTTCTTATATATACACATATATATTTGCATAAAGCGGTATATGTATCATAATATTCAACTTCTATATTGTATCATAATATTCAAAATATAAAAAACCCATTAAAATTTGAGTTATGCTTTTTGGGCCTAATTCGTCCTACAAATAGTTTCCAAAGAAAAATGGAGTATTATCTAAATTGAAAATGGCTAGGCCCAAAGAATTGGAACTTAACATGAACACTAGGTCCATGAAGGCCCAAAATGATTGGGATAATTATTTTGAGACTGCTATTGAGAAATGAAAAACTTGAAATGAATATTAGGTCCAGGAAGGCTCAAAATGGATTGGGCTGATGATTTTGAGACTGCTATTGAGAAATGAAAAACTTGAAATGAATATTCGGTCCATGAAGGCTCAAAATGGATGGGGCTGATGATTTTTAGACTACTATTGAGAAATTAAATTAAAAACTTGAAATGAATATTCGGTCCATGAAGGCTCAAAATGGATTGGGCAGATGATTTCGAGACTACTATTGAGAAATGAATATTAGGTACATGAAGGCCCAAAATAATTGGGCTGATGATTTTGAGACTGCCATTGAGAAATGGCCAACCCAATAAAAGCGCAAACGCCCACCGTGGGGCTCGAACCCACGACCACAAGGTTAAGAGCCTTGCGCTCTACCAACTGAGCTAGACGGGCAACTTGTTTCTTCATCGGTTAGATCACCTATTGAATAAGTCTTTCATTTTTGCTTGAACGCAAAAAACATTATCGTTATATATATATTCCTGGATAGAACAAGTACTGTAACTTTCTTGAAGAAACAAAAATTCCTCTTATCATTAAATTTTTGCAATTAACTCCACAGAGCATAATTTCATGCCTAAATATTTATACAAAAAAATTTCATGCCAAATAACCCACTTGATATACCCAAAAAATTGCAGTTACCCCCTACCAGCATATTTCTCCTTAGAATTTAAAGGTGTCGACACATGAATTGTACAAATGTTTTCTTTAGTAATAAAATGGCTTTTATACCCCTGTCGTAAAACTATCATTATTTTTGGGTTAGTCGAAAAATAAGAAAATAAAACTCTTTTTTTCTTGATTTAAACCTCGTGAAGCTAACCCAATCAACTATTTAGAAATTGCAACTTAGGCACATCCCGTTAAAGTACCATTAACACACATTTAATTTATCATTTTAACTCTAAATGAATGAAAAATGAAAAGAACATTGGTTGCAAGATGTTCGTGTGCAAGAGCATGGTTCATGAGTTTGTGAATGTAATGAAATTTTTTTGGCGCCGATTAGTGTCTTTTGTGGACCTTGGAATGCCAACTTCTCTACATGTACTAATTTAACACTTCTTGTCTTTCCAATAATAAAAAAAATAAAACTCAAAGTGGCATAATAAATAGCATTGATAAGCTCTCTCACTAAATCAGTCAATGAATTGATTAGGCAAAATACTACTCGGTAATTTTAATTTTACAAGAGCACTTTTCAGGTTATTTGAAGAGATAATATTTTACGACCTAATGTTCTTTTGAAAATAATTTGAATGCCACAGTTCCAGTAAACATTCTATTGAGATTTTGAGCATGTCCCCTTAAATTTTTATCATTAGGTTTCATCATTAGTCGGTTGTGTGAGCCGGGGCATGCCATACTCTCACCCATTCAGAATATACCATTCAATGATATGGTTCCACTCAAATACATCAACTAATTGGAATTGTGAATTCTGATTGGGTGGGCATACGACGTGGTATGCCGGCTCAATCAATATCTTCTTGAACACCAGACCTAGGCAAGACCTAGTTAGTTTGTCTCCAATAATGATTTTGTGTATGGGGGAGGAGGTTCAATCAAGTGACTGGCAACAAAACTACCGATTTGCCCCAAGTATCCCAATAAAGGATTTCAAAAGTATCTAACCAATCCAAAATTCACGGAGTACGAAAAATAATTGAGATTAATTCATTTGGGTCAGTCTCAGCCGTCTCCAGAGTACTACTGAATCCCGATTAGAGGATAATATTTTCTCTCTAGTCAAAACTGCAAAGGGATGAAGCTTTCATGTGAATATGATTTGTTCTTGACGTAGTTGCAAGATATGGGATGAATGAGACATGGACATTCATTTTACGTTGCAAAAAGGTCTTTCATTTTAGAACACAATGTAGATTTTATCAACAACAAAATGTAGAACCTATGGCTGAACAGGTCTAAAACATAAATTACTTGGTAAAGGCATCTTAGAAGTATGCAAAAACCCCTTGTTAAACAAGGAAGAAAAAGGTAATTTTTCAACCAGGATTTTTCTCCATAACAAAATGCAACAGAAAAACTAATGAAGACAGTCAATATTCCTTATGTTGTTTCCCTTCTAACACTTGACCATCGCGCCAAATTCTACAATAATACCATTGAAATTTAAAGCCACAAGACTATAATTTATCCAAAATTCACACCCACAAGAAGTGATCCTAATATATGAAATTCGAGCTGAACAGTTTCGTAATAATAGAAGAGTCCCTTGATTTCTTTCTACAAACTTGATTTGCACAATATTGTATATAAATACCTTGAAATTTGAGAATGAAACTGGTTGGAAGTCAAAAACCACAACAGGATCATCAACAATTGCAATCTAGAACTTGAGATGCAGATAGAATCTCATCTTGAAATTCACATTCAGAATCAATGAGCCCAAATTTATAAACATACTAATTTGAACATTATGTCAAAAAACAGAAAGTTCAGGTTCTAAATCTTAGCACAATATTTAACACCCTCCCCTCAAACTACATAAGATCACAATTCTAAGAAACTCCCAGTTAATCCCCATCTGAAGCACTAAGAGTTTCTAATTTACCAGACTGGCACAGTGAGAACAACAGACAACGTCAACTTGAACAAAAGGTTCCACAAAGTTGTCACTATTGAGAAGCATACCGGAAGAAGCAACAGTCAGTCGGAAGTCCGGAAGTTCTGCAGCTACTCATATTTAACATCTCTAGTAGATATGTATGAGCCTCCATTTTGATGTCCATTGCTCTTTGGTTCATCTTTCAACTGAATTACACCAACAAGGAATGGTAAGAACAAACCAACTTGTATAGAATACAGGAAATCGAACTTGATGGATCACTGCCAAATAATAAATCAAAGTTGAGACAGAAGACATGAGCTGCCTTCTTCCCAGGCATAACCAAAAGACCAACTATATAAATAACTTTTAGCAGAAAAGAGGTCTCATAACCAAATCAACCAATCAAAAGATGTGAAAATCCAACTTCTTATACTTCCTAGGGTTCACCATTGATCTCCCTAAGTATATAAAAAAATTAAACTTAATGAACTGGCTATAATAATTCAATCAGCCTCTGATTGGCCTATATATACTGAATCGATGCCCTACACATTATATAAAAAAAAATAAGGAAAAAAAAAAATCAATCAAGCTATCAAACAACTCTAATACAAATGAAAAAGACAAAGAACTGACCTGACGTAGGAGCCTCTTTTGATACTTGTAGCCCTGGTGAGAAAAAAATCAAGGAAGCATTATTAAATTACAGCATTATTACTTCTGAGTTACAACAAAAACTATAAATAGTATAGTCATAAAAACTAATCGCATGGTAACCTTGTCAGTTCCATAGATGTAATCACAGTAAGTGAACACTGAAGCGAAGTTGCTCTGGCTTTGTCCACCGACATAATGATGATAATCATGGTACTCTGCACCACCATAAAAGGGAATATACTTTGTGGGGGTCCAGGGAATGTCATAACTGTATAGTGACAACAGACAGTTATAACATGCTTCAAGTGCCTTGGTAGTTAAAATAGTGTAAAGGATAAATAACAATGATATATGAATACATTGAATAGCATGAGAAAAAAAAAAAGGCATGCATGATGTTTCACCTCCATTGGATTAAATTTTATCATATTTTACCTAATAGACTAATTTACAAGAGAAAAATAATAATAAACAACATAAAATATCATATGTGAACTACTAAAAATCACAAGGATATCATCAAATGGCTTCTTGATAAAAGCAAATAATCTTTTTATTGATAAATGACTAGGTCAAGCAGCCAATGAATATTCTCTTTCACCAGATTGAGGCCCAAACTTCTTAAACAAGTATATCGAAGTCCAATTTTAAAACGACAAGTGATGTTATTTACAAGTTAATCGGTTCAAACATCATATTGGTTTTCTAAGAACTAAAGATCATAAAGGCGAAACTTCCCTTCACTATCAGAAGTTTCTCTTTTTTTGTTAACAAAATGGTAAGTAACATCAGAGGGTTTTTTGCATAAAAAATCAATTCATCCAACTTACGCAATATTTCAAGATACAAATAAGCATTAATGATATATATAGCAACATATCAAAGTACCATCCAACACTTGAAGCAACTTGTCTGATGCATCAATTTGTTATCAAGCAAAAAATCAAGAAAAGAAGGTTAACATCAGTCCTAAGGTGTACTTGCCAATACTTCAGACCACACTTCAGATGTAAATTCAACACTATGAGTAATTCCGATTTGGACCACTCTTTACGGTTAGCTTTATGTTCAATTCAAATGCATGCGGATGCTAGTTTAATTCCAATTATGGAATTCAAAATGCAAATAGCATGACTAGTAACAACTGTTTGCTTCGGTATCTCTCGACATCAATAAAACTACCGCTTAACTCTTGTTTTTGCTTACTTTAAAACAGATTCAAAGTATTATCCTCGCTGTTTTCTATTGAACTATGTTCTAGTCCCATTAGTCAGTCAGTTAATGGATCTGATTTTGATCCAAATTCAATAACTCAGATTAGGTAATTTTTCATGATGACCATTTTTTTTTTAAAACCCAAATTCATTTCATTCTGTAACTAACAGGTCAAATAAAAAATTAACCATCTGATATAGTTCACACCACGCCAAAACAACAAAAAGAAAACCTAAGAACCATTTTGGCAAGTGATTTACCATCAAACTTAGAACTAACCTGTTGCTCGATTTGATCCCAAGATACAGGATTTTTTACCAGACTACATATGATCATCGATCTGTGCCATAGAGACACTGAAAACACACAAACATATATATTTATACACAAGTTATTCTGTTTATTTTAGAGATATCAAAATAGTCCAAAAGACACCTCTGCTCCTCCCCCGCGGAGTTTCAATGCTCCTCGCTTCTTTCCATGATCATCAACATGTCTTTGCCACAGTGCACACACAACAAAACTTTTGCTTTTGATTGGTAGAGTAATAGTATTACGAGGGCGTTGCATTCTCACCGCGAGCACCCATATGATAGTGTTTTTTCTGATAAGTATTGCTAATGAATGTGCTTAACTAAATAAACTATATTGATATATGTAAATGGAGGTTATATTTTTAATGATTTTTCTTCAATGACTCAAATCTTATGGCTTGAATTATAAGATCAAAAGTCCAATACTAATAATAAACAATTTTTTTTATAAGAATACTAAAAGTAAACATATCGGAATTCCAATTGAATTTGCTGATCTACCAGATTATTGGATCAACTCGGATTTCTTCTAACTGATAGGATTGGATTAGGATTAGCCCAGATCCAGTCTGAATTCGTCACGTTTATAGACCTATCAAACATCCTGTAACAACATCGTTATCCAATGATATATTACGTAATAGGTTACTAACTTATTGTCAACTTGCTGTATGAAATACCCAGTGACTGTAGGGAGAAAAGAAAAATCAGTGGCTCACCATTGACACTAGGGAGAAAGAAAAATCAGTGCCCTGCTCACCATGTTCATGCTATTTACAGTTCCTTCAAACTTATCACCAATTGAGTCAAGATTCAAGGACAAGGTAAACGAACCTTTATTTCATCTTACTATTATGATGACATGCTTTTCTAACACCAGTTTAATAGTAAATTTCCAAAGACTCGAGAAATGTGAAGAAATTTTGAAGGGAAAAACTTAGGAAGCACGGACACGCCAAAATGAGCGAAGAATCCGTGTCTGACACGTGTCGGACACCGACACTCGTCGAACACGCCCTGACATGTGTCGGACACACCAAAAAACGTTTCTGAAATTTTTAATTTTTTTTAATTTTCAGACACGGCACAAACACTCTGCGGACACGTGTCTGACACGCCAAGGGGGTGTGTCCGACACGCATGTCTTATTTTCGGGGGTCTAAAAGATAATTTTTGAAAGAAAATTGGGTTAAAGTATAAATATGTGAAGTTAATTAACAACTTTTACTCACTTACGTGGTCAGTACATAATAATTTTAAACTTGTAAGGTTAATATGCAATTTTAGACAAAACAAAAAGATATCTAAGGGCCAGTCATTACACTATTACAATAGATGAGTTATGATTTGTGTATTTTTTTCATTATGAGGTTGATGAAAAATAGTAACACTCAGTACTTTTTAAAGTACTACATCATATATATAATATATATATATATATACTATTCACCGTGTCCCTGCCGTATCTGTGTCTCGTATCCGTGTCTGTGCTTCTTAGGGGAAAACAATTGAAAACAAGCTTTCACTTAGACAAACATGAGAAGATATGAAGTTATTTCCTGCCCTGCCTCCAATTAGTCATCTCTTGTAAGGCAATTCTACTTTCAACAACACCCCCAACCTTCAATACCCACTGCACACGAGGGGTTATTGGGGGAAAAGAACTTCACATGAAGCATTTTGTGCTACAATAAGGTTAAGCCAAGCCTTCAGTAGAGACGTCTCTCTCCTCCCTCCCTACTTATGTCTTTCCTCTACCCCTACCCTTCTACTTGAGCAGTCACATTGATACTGACCCACTACTTGGATCCATGACCAGCATATTCCATGTCTCAGCAATAAGGATATTGTCTATATGCAGCATAGTTCCCGGGGAAATCTATCACATGCTTTAGTAGTTCAAATGTACTGCATTAATGCTCTAGAAAGAAAGACTGAAAACTTAAACTCCAAGCATTAATCCAAAATGTTCTTCAAACAGCCTTGTTCCTCTCTCAACTCCCATGCATGAATCCAGGATGTTCTTCAAAAAGCATTCTTCCTCTTCTTATCGAGTCTGAGCTAAAGTCCAACATAGATTGCCAGACATATAACAGCATCACCATGGATCAATTTAAGTCCCTGATTTTTAGAGCTCAATTTGTATCTATGCGTTGATGATTAATCCAACATTCAAGTACAAAAAAAAAAAAAAAAAAAATCCAGCATACCAACAATACATTGATACACCTGAGATGCAGTCGATATCTTCCTGATAAACATAGTCATCTAAGTGCAAGGCACAACATTAAGTCACGAGTTGAACAAATTGAACTAAAGCGCGTGAGATAAAAAAGCATATTATTGGAAATTTTCAAATATGCAACCCAAATTAGTCAACATCAAAATGAAGAAACTTTACAGCATATCAATTTAGTGGATTGGTAAAATCAATATATGCCCTTTCAAATTGCATATGGATAAAGTTAAAAATCAATGCACAATTGATCCAGTTCAAAATATACAATAAAAAGCTAATAAAAAGAAAAAATTTCAAATGGAATTTTTTTTGACATATCAACTCAGAGGGTCTGATAATTTAATGCATATATGTCCTTTCATTATCCATCTGCATCAATTAAATCAAATACCATTACAAATGTGCAACAATAAAGCCCTAAGTTAGCAATTAGTATATGAAAAAACCTAGTAAATAAAACATCTAGCTTCCATTACACTAATATATGACAATGTTCTTTTCAACCACAAAGAGGGAAAAAAAAAAAGTTACGTGCTTATAATGGTATTGGATGCCATTGCAACCAAATGAATTGTAAGTATTTACAATTAAAATTAACAACCATTGATCGATGAATCAAATAGAGGATCCACTAGGTCTACTCGCTTTAGGAATTTGAAAGCACTTTCAATCAAACATTCGACTCTCAGCAGTCGTTTTCTGGAGTTCTATTTCTCCGTTTTACGATTTTATCCAGTAATAAGCTTTTCTATTTTCAGGGAACCATGCTCAATATCATTTTTTTCTATTTCAAATCAATAAAGCCCAAAGTTGACATGCTGTATATGAAAAAACCTAGTAATTAAAACATCTAGCTTCCGTTGCACTAATATACAACAATGTTCTTCTCAACAACAAAGAGGGGAAAAACAAATTATGTTCTTATAATGGTATTGCATGCCACTGTAACCAGATAGATGAAGATATTTCCAACTCCAGAACAAACTGTAAGTGTTTACATTTAAACAATTGATCCATGAATCAAATACAGGACCCACTAGGTCTATTCACTTTAGGAGTTTGAAAGCACTTTCAATCAAATATTCGACTTTCAGCAGTTGTTTTCTGGAGTTCTATTTCTCTGTTTTATCTAATAATAAGCTTTTCTATTTTCATGGAACCATGTTCAAATTCTCAACCATTTTGTTCACTTACTTTGTCTATCAATTTAGTAATTAATCTGTGTTTCTTCAATTGGATCTCAAATATTAATATATTTGCTTACAAGTTCATCTCATGGAATCTGTAATAATAAGAATTTTCATTTTGATCATACAACTTGATCTCAAGAGCCACTCACCAACTTGGTCTAGAATCTCAAAATTAATATTCCTAAATATCAATAACAGAACAATTGCTGGCAACAAAATGAAACAACTATAAAAGTATGACCTCTGTTACTCTGTACCAATTTAAGAAAGTATTCTGAAAATTATCACTGATCAACAGAAAATTATGAGGCATATGAGAAGACCCAAGCAACGTTTAAGGATTCGCACCAATGATGACACAATCATGCAATTAGAACAACAGGAAGCAACAAATTAGGATGTGCAGGATTCCAAGTGAAGAATCTACACTATTCTTGTTCCAACCGTAATGCATTGTGTATACATTTGAATTTTCTTCACCAGCACCGAAAGTAATGTGAACCCTTCAAACTTGTACCTTGTTACACGGAGCACTAGATTTAACTCCACTATTACTAGTTCACACGACAAAACAATACCACATCCAAAAATCAAGTTAAAATGCCATATGCTAAAGACACTTTTGCTGGCAGATATAGGCCCTAAATTATGAATAAATGCAGCAACTACAATAATTAACATACACAGTAACAAATAAACTAATATGCAAGTGACCCAATACAGCAAAAAGGACCATAAATCAATTCTATTTAAGAAAAAGAGTTGGGATCTACATTAGAAAAAGAAAGAAAAAAATATATATATGATAAAAAGACAAGGCACCCTTATGATACTTCTTTCCATGGGGCAAAAAGTAAGGCACTGTTCAAGATCAGACCAAATCCAAACACTTTACAGATAAACAATAGACTAAACAACAGTGAAAAGAAAGGAAGACACTTTACTGCAAAACATCATTTTGGTCAAATTATCTAAAGGAGAAAATGACATTAACCAAATAAATTAGGGAAAAGGAGGAGTAAGAGCATAGCATGCGTACCCACTATGAGTCTCAATGGCCTCAATCTGCCTCAAAGCAATCCACAGCCAGAACGTGATCATATGCCCCGGGACCATCGCCGGCCCTAGAAATGACGGGATTCCGAGGATCAAAACCTCCGCCCAGTGTGCATACGGCGCCGCAAACCCTATCGGCGCCGTGTATTCATGGTGAACCTTATGAATCTTCTCGTACCCCCAATTGCAATGCAGAAACCGATGGATCCAATAGTTGGTATAATCCTCAACTATGAAATACACTATCAATTGTGCAACAATTTCACCCAGTGATGGCAATGGCAAACTCGACCTAATCCCAATCAGCTGCAAAAACAATCAATTCATAAAAAAAAATAATAATCAACACCCATCTCAAAATTATAATAACATCATATATGTGTATATATCAATGTATTGAGATAATTTGATGAAAGGGTAGGAGAGGAATTGCGGCAAAAACAATCAATTAACATGGGGCAATTAGAAATCAAAAGAAATTATTATACCCCACATATATATATATATGCATATGCATGTATGAATGTACAGAAATGGAGTTGATTACGAAAACAATCAATTATATGGAATAATTAATCAATACCCATTTCATAAGGGATCAAACAAAATTATCAAACACAATCAATTATATGGAATAATTAATCAATACCCATTTCATAAGAATCAAAATCAATTATCATAACCATCATATGTGTGTGTAGATATGTACTTGGATGGAAGGGTAGGAGACGAGTTGGAGAGGGCCGACGATGAGGAAGAACATGCGCATTACGTCTCTGTAGCATCGGAAGGTTTCGGAATAGGAGAGTTTGACTTTGGGTTGGATTTTGTAGATTAGGGTTTTGTTGTAGACGAGTTCGAGGAGGATGTAGAAGAGGGGGACGACGGAGAAGATGAGGAAGAGGAAGAGGATGTTGTGGCAGTAGAGGAAGTAGTCGGATTTGGAGGCGGAGTAGTTGAGCCAGAGGGTCTCGGCGGTGGAGAGTGATCGGCCGAGGGCGGCCTCCGCCTCCTGGACGGTCTTGTAGGGCAACATTGGCGGCGGAGATCGGCGGAGGAATGGGTTGTGGGGGAGGATAGAGAAGAGGGATCACAGTTTCACAGTGTGTGTGTGTGTGGGAGTGAGTTGTCAGGTTGTTGGTTAAAATATGCGGGAATGTTCAAACGACAAGGCCAGCAAGTGTTAGTTTTATGAGGCAGTCATGTGAGACTTTTGACTTATCTGCACTTCGGTTCTGTACTGTGTTGTATTGTTCACTGATGAATCTGATTCTCTTCTGTGCGATTGTAGGTGCAGTGTATTTAAATCATAACAATTTTAAATTCAATCTACTACTCTCCTCAGTTTGGCAACTGTAATTCACAATTTTGTAAATCACGCTTTTAGAAATTGACATTTAAAATAAAACTGAGGGAGTAATAACAATAACTTTAGTCACGCAATCTTTCTTAACAGGGGTCGTTCTCATGTTTTGAACGTGTTTCTACTCTCACACTTCACGCACGCTCCCGCTCAAATACTCACTATTTATGACGTACATTTGCCAATCTCACGCTCTTACTCTCGCTCCCATTTTATGTGACTTAGATAATAATATTTTGTTTTGTTTTATTTATTTATTATTATTTTTTGGTCAATATCAAGAAATTTACACGTACACACTCATTTTGAAAGGTAAAAGAGATACTGCTGTATCATAAAACCCCTATAATAATATATAAACATATTGATTCTCAAAAAATTAATGATTATATAAATGTAATGATCCTCAATTTAGTGGTATTACAATGTTACACTACATTATAATACAGTGTATATTCAATATTAACATGAACACTCCTTACACAGTATAATGAGCGCAATGAATTTTTTCTCGTGTTACTGTAGTATTATATCATTATTGTATAAATGTTGTACTTAAAATTCCGCCTAAGAGGATTTAGCTATGAGGTGGAAGATTCTAGAAACTTATTTATTTTGTTTCTCTTCATTTGAACATAGATAGACTTATAAAATAATGAATTGATCAAATACTATTGTGTTTGGAAGCATCCATGCATTAAATTTAGTATAAAGTTAGAACTATTTATTTATTTATTTTTTTAATTTTAAATTCATGCCACTTGATGCTCCCAAACATAAATTATGGGTTTTGTTAGAAGGTATTTTCTTTTTGTCTTCGATATACTGTGACTCCTAAACATGATTAATTGATGTAGAGTGACATGATACAATTTATAATTACTTAAAAAGTAGCATGAGGGTTATGGTATTGGATCATGAATGTGATGGTGGATCCTACGACATCTAAGGGGTGGAATGACTCTGGAGAGAAAAATTTTATTGCGCCCATTGCATCGTGCAACAGGCACATTCGAACCATTTGTGTTATTTACATGTTCATGTGTGTATTATACACACTGTATATAAAACAATCACGGTACAACGGACACAATAAATTTTTCCTAAACTCCACTATATATATATTTTTTTCTCAGCATAAGGAGTGAAAACATTAAAAGAGAGAGGGATCTGAATCATGGTTCGCGTGACCAATACCGCAACTGTAACCCATACTGCAAACCATCATCTGAATAGATTTACAATTGTTGGTCACGCGAAGTCAATTTATTTAATCAATCTAGAAAATCAGTGTCTTTATCATTTTCCCTTTGTGCAATATAAAAGGTAATTCACCGAAAAAAAAATTTTTAAAAAAAACGAAAAGGTAGGAAATAAAGAAGTTTCCATTTTGAGTGTGTTGAGAACTAAATCATTTACTTGTTTTCGGAAAGGTAAGGAGAAATTATTATAGGAAAAATTACTTTTTAGTCCCACTTTTGAAATTTATTTTCAATAAAGTTCAATGAAAAATAGAATACCTCTTTTACCGTTCTTCATACATTATTGGGTGGACTGTTTGTTTGGATTTTTTCATTTTTATGAACAATATTAATCTAATTGCAGTTTACTAATTAGCTAATTTAGCTCATAGGTTGTTCATAATTTTTTTTTTTTCTTTCGTCACATCAAACATACATATGGAATGTTTCTCTTACAGTCAAGTTAAACCTAAAACACACCCAAATTCAAAGTCACGTTTTATTAGATCCTAATTTTTTTTTTTTTTAAGAGGAGCATGCTTCTCTTAAAGAATATAAATATTTCACACAAGTTAAGTCATACAATCTTTCTTAATTGGTGTCGCCTCTCACGTTTCGAATGCGTTCTCGCTCTCACGGCTCCGTGCACGCTCTTGTTCAAATTCTCACTATTTATAACTTAATTCTGCCGCTCTCACACTCTCACTCTCGAATTCGCTCCCACTCTTACTTTATGTGACTCAGCACAATTATGTACTTCCTTTGTCCCAAAGTACTGGTCCATCTTTCTATTTTGGCATGTGGTAAAATACATGTCTCCTTTCTAAAATGAACGTATTATTTTTTATAACCTTTCTAAACTACCCTTTTTTCTTTCAGCAAGAATCAATTTAAAAATTCATTCTTATCAATATAATAAAAAAAATATTAAAAACCAACCATCAGAAAAAGTTAAATTTTCCAAAAAATTTTGGACCGAGCGAAGTACTTGTTTTTCAGTAAATGCATAACTGTTCCGCTGAAACAATAACGATAGAATTTGTATTTCACAAAGATGCGCACTACAATGAAGTTAAGGTGATGCAGGGAAAAAAAAAATGAATTTAAGGTGAGTGAACATAGATTTAGATTTCAATGGATTGACTGTCTAGGAGTAGTAGTTTGTTAAATTTGACAACAGTTATATATGTATATATATATATGTATATACTCCGTATTAATGAAAGGATAAATGAATTTTATACTTGATTGGTGGTGCTATAGTAATAAAGCACCATTGGGAGAAAAAATCATATTTGAACTTATTTGAAAATAGATCTCGAAAATATGACTAGGGTGTAATTTTTTCATTATTATATGGTTTGGAGTATCAGAAACTATTACATGATCAGACCATTACTCTCGGCCAATTATGAAAAAACACATAAGCAAAAAAAAGTAATTGATAATGACATAAAGTTGACACATTTACTTATGTGTCGCTTTATGAATGATCTGTGACCATGTAATAATTTCTCGAAGAGTATATAGTTCTGGTCAATCACATAGAGTACATAAGTAAAAAATTGTGAAAAATTGACACGATTACATATATGGATGCATGTGATTGGTCGAGATCATATAAAAATTTCGTAAAACTTATTTGTTAGACTTGGATTCAAAGTATTGTACTTGAGTTCGAATTAACTGCATCCATTGCTTAACAAGAATGTGTATTACTGTTCATTAAATTAAGTTGATGTATAAAATACGTCGAGTTCAAGTGGGAGAGAAAGTAAATGATAAAAGATAATGAGGGGAGTAAGTAGACGAAAAGAGAGTATGTGCAAAGGGAACACTGACAGTAGAGAGAAGTATCATTAGAGGAGTAAGCAATCTCTAGCATTGTAGATTCACTTCTTGATTCATTCATTATAATGAAAAAAAAAATATCCACGAACGTAAGTCAAGTTGGGTTAAATTATGTTAAATATCGTGTTATTATGTGTACATATTTATAATTTATTCCGTTGTGTGAAATGAAGGGGCAAAATTTTCACACTTCGGGTACAAATGGTCAGTTGGTTTGGAATAAGATGTTTTCTACCTTACATTTTGTGATTAAATTTAAGAAAGAGTAACTCTTTTTTCTTTGTGGGGTCTCATATGTTATCCCTATTTGGTGGGGACATGAATTCTCTTGTTTTACATGTACCGAGCAATGAAAAAAAATTATATAAAAAGTCAAGAGAGACCTAAGGAAAATTCGAACTATAAAATTTAAAAGTCTTTGCAATTAAACTATTCCCTTTTTAAGTTTCAATAACATGCAATATTACTTTACAAATATAAATCCTATTATCCTTGGAGTGATTGTTCAATTTTCCAAACATAAATGAAAATTCAGTTTATGTTTAAAAAAAAAAAAAATTTGAAATTTCAGTGCCTAAAAATAACTGCACACTTGTGTATTATATTTATGGGGAGTGAAATCTCTCTTGGTGGTACATGTTATTTAGTAACTATCTTAAGAATAATGACAAAGGTCTTCCCCCACCCTCGATTATGTATCTACTTTTTAAATATATATACATATATAATATATATTTAATATTTAATATTTTTAAAACCCTTATAATTTTGCTCAAAGTGTTATTTAATATAGTAATTATTCACCACTTAATAATTTAAAAGTTGAACCAGCTTATTTATCAGTTCAATTAGAGCATATTGGACAATTTTTTTATTTTTATTTTACCATGACATAATCCAGCCTGCTCCCGCTCCGCCCTGCAATTAAACAAGGAGTTGGAAATTCATTGGATGTCAAGAACAAAGCTGGAAAAACATCTCCTCAATAGGCTGTTTTAAGGCAGATTTCGTTAATAACTTTGCATCTCTTCCCATCTCGTCCACTATTTGCTTTTAAAGGAATCTTGAAGAAGATGAGTCACAAAGTAGGAACGGTATAATAATTACAATTTAATTCCAAAATAAGGGTGAAATTGATATAACAAATTTATTAACGAATTAAAATAGAGTTTAGCCAACACCTTACATCTTAATTAAAAAAACAGGTCATCTCTGTCACTACTAGTACAGCTCTTATCCAGAAAATAATGGGTTGGATGTGATTAGCTAGCGTGCTAGTATCGATGGCAAAAATGAATGTGGGACCCATTTCAATAATGAGGATTCCTAAAACTAGATATGTCCAAGACTTGAATCGCTCTTGAAATTACCAGGCACTTTTTTTTGGGTGAGAATGAATCTCATATACTCCACACACAGTGAAACACACACAAAATAAAGGAGAAGATATTACCAAAGCGGCTTTCCTTGACTGCAGTACGAAAACCAAATAATGATATTTTTGAACGAGGAATTTGCATGTTGAATGTTGTGGACCTTGAGCCCCACCTTACCTATGAATTTGACATAACACTTCCCAATCATTATAACATGGGATGAGCTTGAGCTACATGAAGATTTAGGGTGTCGCTGTTTTAAATGTTTACCTAACATACACTCCAATAATCCCCCTACTTAATAGGCAATGAAGATTTAGGGTGTCTCTGTTTTAAATGTTTACCGAACATACACTCCAATAATCCCCCTACGTAATAGGCAATTTATATTGTCATGCCGGAGTTCTGTCCCGTCTTGCTC